TGCACCTTTTGGGGTACAACAGCTTGTCACTGGAACAGGACCCTTAAAATGACATATTTGTTCCTTTTTTATCCCTAATAGGTAGGCCTACAAATTAGTACTTTAAGGGTACAAATTACTACTCTAAGGTACTAATATGTTCCTATTAGGGGTAAAAAAAGGTACAAAGATGTCCTTTTAAGAGTACTGCTACAGTGTCAAGCTGCTATACCCCAAAATGTACAATTTTGGCCCCTTTATTTCTGTGTGGCCTGGATGAGTGTGAGATTTCCCGGCCTGAAATTGTGTCCCAGTCCGGCCCTGATTAAAGTCATTACACTGGTTACCTGTTAGTTTTCGTATTGATTTTAAAAATCTTTTATTAGTTTATAAGGCATTGCACGGACTTGCTCCAGACTATCTTTCAAAAATGCTTACAGTATATAAACCTAGAAGGACTCTTAGATCCTCTGATTCTTTTCTTCTAACTGTACCTCATAGCTGAACTAAAAATTCGGTGATGCTGCTTTTAGCCGTTATGCTCCTCGCCTCTGGAACAACCTTCCAGAGAACATAAGATGTGCTGAAAACATTAATAGTTTTAAATCTAAATTAAAAACATATCTTTTTAGTCTGGCCTTTCTGTAAAGACTCTGTATATTTCTGTATGTTTTGTTTTGCCTCATTTTTAATGTTTTATTTTATGTTTCATATTTTAATCTTTATAAACTTTATTCTTATTTGTGTATTTTAATGGGTCTATTTTATTTTTGTTTTAATTCTGTTCATTTAAATTTTTATTAATTGCTGTATAATTTTGGTTCCTTCTTGTCTGTAAAGCAATTTGAATTGCATTAACTTGTTTAGAAAAGTGCTATATAAATAAAATTTGCTTGCTTGCTTGCTTTAGACCGTGGACCTCAGTTTATATCACATGTGTGGAAAGTCTTCTTCCAGTTGCTTGGAGTCACTGTGAGCTTGTCATCTGACTACCACCCTAAGACAAATGGAGCAGAAGATCCAGGAGCTGTCCATGGAGCAGAAGATCCAAGCTGTCAGACATTCCAGCTGTGGACCACTGGTTCCAGGAGAGCGAAAGGGTTTGGGACTCATATCTGCAGACATACATCTGCAGAGGGCAGTTCAGAGGCAGAAGAGCAAGGCCGATGCAAGGAGAGCTGCGACACGCATCTACCATCAAGGGCAGAAGGTCTGGCTCTACACCAAGGGCATTCGCCTTCGATTGCCCAGTCGCAAGCTGAGTCCAGTTATAGGTCCTAAGATATAGGTCCATTCACCATCCAGGGACAGATCAACGAAGTTGCTTACTGCCTGAACTTACCAGTACAGTATTGTATATCTCCAACATTTCATGTATCCCTGCTAAATCTTACAATAATCCTTTGATTTAATCTTCTCCCTCTAGTTCTGGTGCAGATGACATGCCTCCTCCTCCAATCGATTCTGACAATGGCCTGACCTACAGAGTCAACACCATCTTATGGCGCTTTTCCACTGCGTGGTACGACTCGGCTCGGTACGGCTCAGTACGGCACGGCACGGTTCGGCTCGGCACGGTTTGCGTTTCCACTGCAGTTCAGTACCGCTTTAGAGTGGGCGGGATTATTCACATGTCATTATAGTTGCGCCGCCTCTACTACCACGACTCCTAAAAAAACTTTTTCATTCCGCGTCGCCCCATCAAGCTCTCGCTGGATCCGCTCCTCTGCTATCAACGAGAGGAACGTCTGTTCTTCCGCAACAGACAACAAAACTTTTTGGTTGTTAAAAAAAGGTGCGCTCGTTCCAAACAGTTGCGTTCGATCCTTCGCTGGCTGTGCTGATTTAAATCTAGCGGTTCTTTTGTGTTTGTGTCGCAAGTTCAGTGACGCAGGTAGTGACGATTCTCTCCGGCCAATCCGTGATCAGCAGAGTTTACACGTCACGTTTTGGTAACGGTACGGTTCACTTGGAACCCCAACCGAGGTGGTACTAAAAAAAGTACCAGGTACCAGGTACTGTACCCAGTGGAAAACCCCCCAAAAGTGAACCGTACCGAGCCGTACCGTGCCGTACCATGCAGTGGAAAAGCGCCATTAGACTCCTGACAGCGGGGTAACTGACTAGAGTACCTTGTGGACTAGGAAGGATACGGCCATGAGGAAAGATCCTGGATGGCACGAGATGATACTCATCCCCGCCATCGCAACTCTCGAGCATCGGGAGGTGCCTGTGTGGGGGGGGTCTCGAGGCGGGGGGGGTGGGTGGGGGGGGGGGGGGGTACTGTCACAGATTTTACAACACCCTCTGCTCCGCCGACTCGTTCCAGCTCACCAGAGTTCTGATTGCTTCCACCTGATCACCTCATTAACTCACCTATATAAACTCTCACTCCACCACAGTTCTTTGTCTGGTCTTGCTGTTCACTACGGACTACTTACCTTCACTCCTCGCCTTACCGTTACCCGTTGCTTCATGTTTGCTGATTTTGGTTCTCCTTCAGTCTGCCTAGCTCTGGATCCATCTACCACCTGCAAAGATAAGAACTGTGACTCATGCTTACATTTGCTTACTGGCTCTGTTTATTCTTCATCTGCAAGTTACTAACCGGGCATCTGGAATATTGTCAATAAACAAGCATTACCGCTATTTCCTTGTCTTCTCATCTGTGTGCTGACATATACACAACATTGTTAAAATGTGCTGGAAATGTTCAAAAAGTATTGATACACACACTGAAATAATTTCACCAAGTTTTATGTCGAAAACCAACAAATTAAATTAGCAGCACTATGCACTTTTTGTTTGCTTAAACATTGAAATAAAATGAAATCAAATGGAGTTTTGACCAATAACAGTTTTATAAAATGATAAATCTCACATTTCAGTCTATATTTTTTTTTTTAGGAAAAGGATGAGGCAGAATGATAATAGGGCTGTCAAACTGATTTATTACAATTAATCGCATCCAAAATAAAAGTTTGTTTACAAAATATATGTGTGTACTGTGTCTATTTATATACATGTATATAAATAGACACACACAGGCTACATGTATATATATTTACGAAATATTTACACGTAAATATATATTCTCATTTAAATATGATTTATATTATATATACATACAGTGGGTACGGAAAGTATTCAGACCCCCTTAAATTTTTCACTCTTTGTTATATTGCAGCCATTTGCTAAAATCATTTAAGTTAATTTTTTTTCCTCATTAATGTACACACAGCACCCCATATTGACAGAAAAACACAGAATTGTTTAGTTGTCAAACCCCTAGAGTCAAGGTATGCATTCACCTTGAGACATATATACATATACATATACATGTATGTGTGTGTATTTATATATACATTTAAATATACACAATACACACATATATTATGTAAACACAAACTTTTATTTTGGATGGGATTAATCGATTTGACAGACCTAAATGATAAATTTTAGTTCATCTGCTCTATTACGGAGCCCCGCACATGGCATGCAGGAAAAAAATAGTAAGCTAAATTGTGTGCACGATTTACTATTTCATTCCCTCGATTTATAAATTGTGCGCACGATTTACTAATTCGTTAGGCCATTGAGTGATTTATAAACTAGTAAAAGTACTTTAAAATCAATCCTAAGTGTAACTGGAAGCCAGTGTAAGGACCTGAGGACTGGTGTGATATGCTCAGATTTTCTGGTTCTAGTCAGAATCCTGACAGCAGTGTTCTGGATGAGCTGCAGCTGTCTAATGGTCTTCTTGGGAAGGTCGGTGAGGAGACCATTACAATAGTCCACCCTGCTGGTGATAAAGGCATGAACAAGTTTCTCCAAGTC